TGCTTGCAAGCAAATTCAGTGCAGACTCAGGCAAGCAAATTTGAGAGTCTGAGCTAGCCGATGGCAGATAGATAGATCACTGAATGATTCTGTGAGCAACTCAATCTGCCTGGTTTGCCTGATTTTGGGTAAAAGTTGCTCTTTTTTATAAAAAAAATCAATATTTACATGCATGGTGTGTTGTGAGTTAATTTTGTGAGTTTGTTTGCAAGCAAATTTTATGTGACAGACTGAGCTAGCCAATGGCAGATAGATAGATCTCTGAATGAATCTGTGATTCTGTGAGCAACTCAATCTGCCTGCCTGCTTTGTCTGATTTTGGGTAAAAGTTGCTCTTTTTTTAAATAAAAAAATCAATATTTATATAAATATTTATAATATTTACATACAAGCCATGCCCAGCCAGTCACATGACCACCAAGCCATACTCACAAATTAGGCCATGCCCACATAACCAGTTAGTGGTCCCTGGGATCTAAAATTATGAGTTTGGTGGTCCCTGAGGTCCAAAAGTTTGGTGACCCCTGCTCTAGAGTATGGGTAAGATGGAGATTCAAGTGAAAGCCACTTTCCTGTTGGTTAGTTGCAAGATGTTATGGCAACAGTTGAGAATTAGATGACAGGTGGAAAAAATGAGGAATAAATCATAATACAGGCAATTCCCTCACCTGTGAGGAGTTTGCAGAATTACTATTGGCTTGCTGTTGATGAATTTGTGCAAGCTGCTGTTTCTGCATTAGTGCCAGTTGTTGTTGATGATGCTGGTATTGTTCGGCTGTAAATGCTGAAGAAAATATAAAATGAGAGAACACTGTATCAAAATATGTAGACCTTATATGTGCACCCCTTAATAAAGAATGCTCAAAATGCACAGGTGTTAAGCATAGTACATTTATCCAGTGCTCCAGCTGTAGTGGGAGCTCATATTAACTGCACTTCCCAAATAAGCTTGGTTGTATACCATGCAAGATTAAACTTTTGAATTGCTGTTCTAGAGCAACAAATTGCCATATTATGGTAATCATACTAACAGAATTTCCAAAACCCATGTCAGATAAAATGTGTTCCTTATTCCTACTTTTAGATAATACTGATAATTCAACTGAATGTATATATGTATGTATATGTATATATACATATGTACATATGTATATATACATATTCCTACTTTTAGATAATACTGATAATTCAACTGAATGTATATATGTATGTATATGTGTATTCGAATATAAATTATGACATTGTAATAATTCAATTTCCCTTAATTAACCCACCTGGGGGGAAAATCCAGTCAATAAGAACGGAGCTGATTATGCTGATTTACAGAGGAATGAAGCAAGACTGTATTATACTATTTATTGTCTATGGAGAGTTCTAAAAATAGAAAATAGAGAAGTTTCATTGACATTTTTGTTTCACCGTATCTTGATTAAAATCTCCCTAATACCAACTTTTAAAGTGAATTCAGACTGAAGAATAAATTATAAAGCTTGTTTCTAGAACAAATTGGGAAGTTTTCCAAATTCAATTTGTTTTAAATACAGAATTTTGGATACTTTACTTCATCAAATACTATTATTTTAGATTAAGCTTCCTAATAGAAAAACTAAAATTTATTGTCTACTTTTTAATTTCATACACAAGACAGCACAAGACAGATAAATGCCAAGTTTAAAAAACAGGTATTATTTTGTTCTGCACTAATCAATACCCATAAAAATGAACTAAAAGAGAAGGCAGAGAAAGAATATGTATTAATGCAACTCACTGAAGATTGGTGCACCATACACTTTTTTGAATAACATAAACTTCATACCAGGTAGTTCTTTTGCCTATCTATAGGTTTCAGTGTATTCCAGTGCAGAAAAATGTTAGAGCTTTTGAGACTTATCTACCTTTTATCTCACTTCAGATCTTAAGGAATGATGGTTTTTAGACTTTAGATTGCAGCAAAAACATTTAAGTTTGAAACATATTTGGCTAGATAGATATAGCCTTGACATTCATCTGTTTAAACTGAACCTTATTTTCACTTAATACACTTGTGAGAAAAATGAACATAGTGCTGCAAAGTAAACACTTTAATATTGTATGACAAACTACTATGCGAATATAACTGTTTGTGGGAAGTACAGCCCTATATAAAAATGTTGTTAAGGATACAATGGCGGAACAAAATTAGTCAAGATGTCGATGAAGATTCTCAGTCATTCAGGTAGAGATGTCTGGAAGTACAGTCACAGGAACTGGATGTTTCGTTGGTACAAAATGTTTCACTGCTTATCCAAGTAGCTTCTTCTGTCTGAGCAAGTTGGTTGAGGGAACCTCATATATGTCCTCCAGGGTGGTTTCATTTCCCACCTAACCTGAATAGGCTCATAAGGTGAGTAGGCAGAGAGTCATTGGGATGTAAATGTTCCAACTCCTAAATCCTTCCCCTAGGTGGGTTGTTAAGTGTGGCCTCCCTGGTGAACCTGTGGTCTTAATCTTCCTGGGGAGTGATGAAAGAGCAGCATAAAAACTGGGGGGACAAGTTGTGTCTGAGGCCTCCACCTCTATTAAGGGAAGGATTTTCCACTTTGGCATAAATGGATTCCTTTCATTCCTCTCAAACCATCTATCTTCTCTGTCCAAAATGTGAACATTATTGTCCTCAAAAGACTGTCCTTTTTCTTTTAAATGAAGGTATACTGCTGATTCTGGTCCTGTGGTATTGCTTCTCCTACACTGAGCCATCCTGTGTGTACAAACTGCTTGGTTTCTCCAATGTAAAGCTCTGAACACTCCTCACTGCACTGGACTGCATGCACTACATTAGTCTTATGTTTTGATATCATATCTTTAGGGTGGACAAGTCTTCTGTCTCAGGGTGTTGGTGGGTTTGAACAACACAGGTATGTGGTGTTTTCCAAATACCCATTTTAGCTTCTCTAGTAGGCCAGTTGTGTAAGGAATGACCAGGTTTTTCTGTCAACTCTGAGTCTCAACTGTCTGCTGTTCTTTTGTTGGATCCAGATGCTGATTTAATTAAGATCCAATTTGAATAACCACAGGCAGGGGTGGGCTTCAAATAATTTAACAACCAGTTCTCTGCCCAGTTGCTAGGTGGGCGTGGCCTAGTCAGCCTCCTGCACCACCCTGGGAGCGAAAACGGGCCACAGGGGACCCATTTTCACCCTCCCCAGGCTCCAGAGGCTCTCTGGAGGCTGGAACTTCCAGGAGGTCTGTTTTTCACCCTCCCCGGGCTCCGGAGGCTTTCCTTCAGCCTTTGGGAGGCCCATTTTTGCCCTCCCTGAGCCTCCGCATGGGCCCCACACTTACCTGCGATCCAAAACGGGCCGCATGGGGACTCCTGGGAGGGGCAGGAGTGCCAGCCAGTCATCAGAACTACCGGTTCACTGAACCAGGTGTAAAATTAACATCCAGTTCAGCCAAACCGGCGCAAACTGGCTGAAGCCCAGCCCTGCCCACAGGCCTTAACAGCTGTCCTCAAGTGGCTGTTTTCCTACTTTTGGGCATCTCTGGAGGTGGGAACAGTTATATCCCAAAGACTATTTACCTACGCACCTACTGAGCCTATCCAGTTTAGGTGAGAAATGAAATCTCCCCAGGAGGACATATATGGGCTTCTCCCAACCAACTTGCTCAAACCATAGAAGCTACTTGGATAAGCAGCAAAATGTTTTGAACCAACAAGAAAAGTCCAATTGGCAAGAATAAATTTCCAGAAAGTCAAGATAATCATTATATGTTTATGTCACTGAATGATGCCTACATAGGAAAATGTATGTATTTAGTAGCTATATAGCATAAATGGAGTGTAGATTGGACAAAATCTATGACCGTCCAGTTTATGGTATGGCCATTGATCTCCGGGAGTCCCATGATGAAGTCCATGGCTATTTCCTCCCATGGCCGGGTTGGGTCAGCCACGGGCTGCAAGAGCCCGGGTGGCTTTCCTGAGCAGTGTTTCATGGTCACGCAAACTAGACAGCTTTTGACATAGTCCTCTATATCGTTCTTCAATCATGGCCACCAGAACTGTCTCTTGGCTAGATGTAAGGTTTTGAAGAACCCAAAGTGCCTGGCCTGTTTGACATCATGGCACTGCTATAGCACTTGTGGCCTCAGGGTGTGTGCTACGTACAATTTACTGCTCTTCCACGCTAATCCTTCTCGTTCAGTAAGTAATAATAATAATACTTTATTTGCAGTCACAGACCAAAACACAAGTACAACAAAAGAAGAACATGGGAAAATTAATCATGAACAATTGGTCACCAAAAACTTGACTAAGGGGAATTACAGTGTTCTCCTCTGATGGTTACAGCTCTTAAAAAAAAAAATTGGAAACCTGAGAAGTGATGTATGAGGAGCCATCCCCTAGACAATATATGAACAAATTACTAACATTGGGTCTAGAAGGGTCTGATTCAAGGAGAGACAGTAACTTAGATCTGTCTCCATTATACATAGGGCAATATAAAAGGACATGCTCCACAGTTGCGTTCAGTAAGTAGTTGCTGGTGAACCAGGGGTCAGTCAGTAACTCAGCCTGTAGGTTATGGGTCAGCTTGTCTGCACTTGCTGCAGGCCACCGGGCTGATGCCTGAGCTGCTTGTTGAGGAGCAGGGGGAATAATGGCATGAACCACCTCCTCCTGGTGGCTGTTGTATTGCAGCTTCTGGGACAAGGCATCTGCTGGGAAGTTCTTACCTGCAGGGATGTATTTCAAACCGAAGTGGAAGCGTTGGAAATACTGCACCCACTGAACTTGTTTGGACAATCGATGCGAGATCCAGAGAGCCTCAAGGTTTTTATGGTCTGTCCAAACCTCAAAAGGCACTCTGCTCCCCTCCAGGAAGTGTCACCATGTCATGAAGGCCCATTGGACCGCAAAAGCCTCCTTTTGCTGGAATTGCACCCTTCCACCACTGAAGCAGCCGGCAGGCCTGATCAGCTGATTGCTGTGCCACCAGCAGTGTCAATGAACAGCCCATTTGTCTGGCTTGCAGGCAATTACGATTGAGGCTGAATGCAAGCTGGCCAACTATCAGCTGTTAATCGGTGGCGCGTTGCTTGCTGCTTTGCTGCTTGCCGCTTCGGGGCTGGGACACTGCTTGCAGTTTCAGTGCTCAATAGCCAGTCTCCCCACTACCCACCTCCTGTGCTAAGTTCCCTCCCCCAGGTATGGCAAACCCCAGACTGGGGTTTGACACTTAAGCAGTATTTCACATCAGAGTCACAGTTGTTAGTTTAGTGGAAGCTGGCTTCCCCATTGACCTTGCTTGTCAGAAGATCACAAAAGGTGATCAAATGACCCCAGGACACTGCAGCCATCATAAATACATGCCAGTTACCAAACATCTGAATTCTGATCACGTGACCATAGGGATGCTGCAACGGTTGTATGAAAAATGGTGATAAGTCACTTTTTTCAGTGCTGTTGTAACTTTGAACAGTCACTAAATGAAGTCGAGGACTACCTGTAACTGTACTGGCTGTAATACAAAGAACTTCTAGGGACAAATTTCTTGTATGTCCAATAACACTTGGCCAATAAAGAATATTCTATTCCAGTGGTTCTCAACCTGTGGTCCGTGGACCTCCAGGGGTCCATGAAGGCTTGAAGAAGTGTTATGATTTAAATCTTGACATGGCCACAAAAGGTATTTAAAGGGGGTCAGTGGTGAAGAATAGGTTGAGAACCACTGTTCTATTTTTTTCTCCCACATTAAGAAAAAAAAAACCCCGATTGCATATGTATTTTTTCCGTTTCAGCTC